ACTCCTCATGGTCCTATATACCCTGAACCCTAAAGTCTTTTGTGTTCTCAGTGTTCACATAACAAAAATCAAGCATTACACACCCGCCTCCATGCACACCCGCTGAGAAGTTTCATCACCCTGCAAACCCAAGCTTAGATTCTACAACCTCAGACTTTAGCACCCTACAAAGCCAAGCTTAAAGTCTACAACCCTTGACCGTATAGCACCCTGCAAACCTACAGTCTACAACCTAGGGCTTTAGCTTTGTAGCAACCGTGCGGAACCGAGCACCCTGTAATCCTAGAATCCTTCTACAACCAGTTTCACCGAGATGGATGGCCAGCATCGTGTGTTCCTGAGAAACCTCAGATTTCAGGTTACAAAGACAGAAATCGCCAAAGTATGCTGGGACTTGGGTGTTCAATGTCTGAATATTAATATCGTGCGGAAGGGCAACTTTGGCAAGCAAACAATGTGCAGTGCTTTTTTGGAAGTGGCCAGCAGGGAGAATGTGACCTGGTTATGCCAGCAGTTGCACGGAAAGTACGACTTCCGAGTGGCCGAGGTCCCTCTTTTTGCAGAGCCTGCTGAGCCGAGGAGGGGCAAAGGTGCTGGTGCTGGTGTTGGCGGTGCAGCACCCGCAAAAGCGCCAGCACAAGCACCCGCACCGGCACCAGCACCAGAACCAGCACCGGCACCAGAACCAGCACCGGCACCAGCAGCTGAAGTGGATCCTCGCTTGGTGGCCCAACCGCTTTCGCCGACCTTGGAGCCCACTTCTCCTGCTGGTACACAGGCTACCGATGTCTCTGGTACAGATGCTGGCTCTGGTACAGATGCACGGGACGAAGCTCTGAGGACCCAGCTTCAAGGGAGCCTGATGGGTCAGGCTGAGGCTTCGGCGCCTTCTGAGTCTGGTACAGATGGGGATGGCTCTGGTACAGATGGCTCTGGTACGGATGGCTCTGGTACACGTGGCTCTGGTACAGATGGCTCTGGTACAGATGGCTCTGCTACAGTTGGCTCGCCATCGTCTGTGGGTCCAATTGTGGTGAAGCGATATCGGAAGCGACCGAGGCTGGACGAGCACACCCCGACGGAGCCTGGCGAAGTGGAGCCAGATGTGATCTCGGAGGCCAGGTTTGCAAAATAAGCACAATATAATGCTATCTGATCACCATAAACCGGAAACCTTAAACCCTAAATCCCAAACCCTCATCCCTAAACCTTGAACCCGGACTTAGGGATTCAGAATGTTTCGGGTTTGGGGGTTTAGGGTTTCCTGCCGGTTCAGGTATCAGGTGTTATAAGATGTTATGGGATCTTTGGGGTTTGCAACTTTGGTGTTGTGCTGCAACTAAACCATTATGTGGCCTAAGATTGCTTTAAAGCTGTGCTGGTTCACCTTCGGTGGTAACCATAGTCCGCCCTCTCACATGGTAACATATATGAAGCCCGCATAATACTTCACCTAGAAAGCTAAGACCCCACAGGCTGGCGGCGACGATGTTTCACACGGGGGCCGGAGCTCAGAGAGCGACCCAGAGGGCTGAGATGAAACATTGAGGGTTACCGGAGGGTGTGTAGAGTGCTGCCCAGCAAGCCAACACGATTTCCTCAGAGCCCCTAAACCTCTTAAAGCCGCCCAAACCTAGACTTTAGCACCCAAAGCCCTCAGACCCAAAAGCCATGCAACCCGAAAGCTTCAAACCCACAAGCCACATCAAAGCCAAAAGCCACGACCTCTAAAACTTTGAAACCATACAGCCCTACAGCTTCAAACCCAAAAGCCACAACCACCGAAATCTTCAGCCCTCCAAGCCTAAAGCTTCAAACCCCAAAGCCACGACCCCTAGTACTTTAAAACCCTGTTGCCTTATTTCCTCAAACCCAAGAGCCACAACCCCTAAACCCTTCAGCCCTCCAAGCCTAAAGCTTGAAACCCCAAAACCACGACCCCTAGTACTTTAAAACCCTGTTGCCTTATTTCCTCAAACCCAAGAGCCACAACCCCTAAACCCTTCAGCCCTCCAAGCCTCAAGCCTCAAACCCCAAAGCCACGACCCTAAAATTTTAAAACCCTGGTGCCTTATCTCCTCCCCTAAACCCTTCAGCCCCCCACAAGCCCAAAGCCTCCAACCCAAAAGCAACGACCCCTCAAAGAACAAAACCCTGTAGCCCTATAACTCCTGAAACCCACAACCCTCAAAGCCTAAAGCTTCAAAAGCCCGAAACCCCAAACCCAGACTCAGACCCGGATGTGTGTGTTTCCACTACCCAATATACAGGCCTCGAACCCAAAAGCAACGACCCCTCAAAGAACAAAACCCTGTAGCCCTATAACTCCTGAAACCCACAACCCTCAAAGCCTAAAGCTTCAAAGGCCCGAAACCCCAAACCCAGACTCAGACCCGGATGTGTGTTCCCACTACCCAATATACAGGCCAGGGTAAGTTTCCAATAATGTAGCAGAAGCAAAAAGCTATGGAATTTAAGTAAAGTTTCTAGGTGCCAGTAGCAATTTAGTAGAAATTTCGAGTAAACTTCCACAAGCAGGTGTAGCAGTTTGGTAGAAGTTTCCACTAAACTTCCACTGGCTAGTGTAGCAGTTTGGTAGAAGTTTCCACTAAACTTCCACTGGCAATTAGCAGCCCATTAGCAGTTTCCAAGATTACCAGTAGCAGTTTCTATGCATGCTTTTTATATATGTACCAGGGAATACTGCCTAAAGCCCCGAAACTGCTATTAAACTGCTTCCCAAACTGCTTTCGAACTGCTAGCAAACTACCACCAAAGTGCTAGTAGCAGTTTGGTGGAAACTTCCACTAAACTTCCATTGGCTTGCTGTGCAGTGCTTTCGCCCAGCTGCATCGGTGCAGTAGCTTTGCTAGTCGTTCCGTGTGTTGTGCCTTTTGAAAGCATGGTGCTTTCTAAGATGGCCATGAAAGTCATGAAAAAGCCGGCGGCGGCTAAGTCCACGAAGACCAAGAAGGTCAAGGAGGAGGAGGATGAGGCCATCACGAAGAAAGGGAGCATGAATGATTCCATCAAGCGAATGAAGAGCTCGGCTGCCTTGTGCATCGAGGATGGGAAGGCCGACCACGACATGGAGGGGGAGGAGGAGGAGGAGGAGGGGGGTGACGAAAGCACCTCAAGAGACAAGGGCTTTGCTCTCAAGTTTCAGAAGATGAAGAAAGACCTGCCTGCCTACGTGGTGGACTTGGTGGAGACCCAGTCGGCCAAGGCAGCCCACCCACGGGAGTTCAAGTCGAAAATCATCAACAAGCTGTTCAAGAGAGAATCTTGGCTGCGAGATTATGTTATGAGCACGGTCTTTGCATCCCAGGGGCATGGGTCTACATTTACTATTATACAGTATACTACTCCATTTGCTCCGTGGTGGTGGTGGTGGTAGTAGTAGTAGTAGTAAAGAAGAAGTCTAGAATAGTAGTGTAGCAGAAGTAGTAGTCGTAGTAGTAGTAGTAGTAGTAGTAGTAGGAGGAGGAGGAGGAGGAGGAGGAGGAGGAGGAGGAGTATTGTAGTAGTAAATGTCGTCGTGATGTGTTTGGCGGTACCACGAAAAGAAAAACTACCAGAGAACGATCATCACTATGTAAGGAAACTCTCTAGTTCTGTAACACCATCTCGATAGCATTCTTTGCTACGAAACCAGCCGAATGTCAGGGCGACTGGGATCTTTGTACCCCAGTTTGCCAATGTTGTTTCTTCGTGGTTTGCTCTGTGTTGTTATGTCGTTTCCAAGGACAAGTCAGGCAAGATCCACTTGAACTTGCAAGATGCTTGCTTTAAAGAGCACAAGAAGCTTTACAACGAGAATTTCTCCAAGAGCTCCGAGATCTCCTACCCCGAGAGCATATTCAAGGGTATGTTCTATGCCAACAACGACGACAAGTTCGAGGCCGCCCTGGCAAAGGGCGAGATTTGCGAGGCGAAGAGCTCGGTCCCAGGAGTCAAGTTCTTTAGCTTTCAGACCTTCAAGGCAGTCCAGAAGACAGGGTGCATGGAGGAGGAGGAGCTCTCTTCGACTGCCAAGGTGAGCAAGGATCAGGCCAAGATCTTGTCCGAGTGCTTTTCTCGCATCGGCTGGAAGATGAAGCACTCCACCGATGAGACCAAGAAGTTCGCGAAGGGGGGCTCCGTGCCCACCAACATCGAGGCAGTGCTTCGTACGGCCTTGGAAGCCCAGCAGAAGCTCTCCAAGGATGCCATGATTATCTTGAAGAAGTGGGGGGCGGATGATGATACGACGAAGAACCTTCGCAAGTACCACAAGGGCAGCCAGGAGTTCATCGTGAAGCTGGACCACATCAAGCAGTTTCGCGAGCTCCCGGATGACGAGGCCTTGACCAAGCCGAATTTCGACAAGTTCCTCCTGAAGGTGGCCGATCATACGGAGCAGTTCAATGTTCTGGTTGAGAGCAGCAAAGGGGCCTTGAAAGCCAAAATCAATTGAGACGTCTAAGATGTCATCAAGAGGATCTGATGATCATGCTCTCATGAGCATCGCATGATCGGCTTGAGCTGACCGGCTGTAGATGCTGTGTGTGCTGCCGATGTGCTTTTTGCAACAAGACCTGTGCTAGATGTTGCTGCGAGCAGCTTTTTGGTGGGGCAAGAAGAACAGTTACAGATAAAGTAGCACAAAGCATAGGTGTCTTGATAGACTAGTTTTTTTGATCTTCATAGCTGTTCTGTTTTGATAGACTAGTTTTTTCGATCTTTTGTCTGGCCCCTGTACAGCTGTGTATGCAACACCACCGGTGCTACGTGTAGCTGTAAGCTGTTTTGGGCAGGAGCAGGAGGAGTGAAGAGTTATAGAAGCAGCATAGACCATAGCTGTGTTGATAGACTAATTTTTTGGATCTTCGTAGCTGTGTCGATAGACTAGGTTTTTCGATCTTTGCTCTGGCCTCCGCTTGCAGCTATGCTGTGCACCCATCGAGGAAATCTCGCTCGAACCGAAGCATTAGACTCTAGACATGAAAAATGTCGTCGCCATGGCGCTTTTGTTTGAGAAATAGAGTCTTATGTAACTGTAAGTATGTCATATACAAGCCCAAGCCACCCAGAACCCTAATTTGGTCTTCCAAGAGAGCTTCTCTGAGAGAACGATACCATGAGAGTTTGAGTGGAGAGCTATTTTTCGAACTTATATAATGCCATGAAAGTTAATTATACTTTCATGGAATAATCTCCACCCGCCCACACACAACCTTAAACCCTAAGCCTTACACTTTGCTATCCCGAACAAGATACCCTGCAAACCCTACGTCCCGACACAAACTCTCCACCCGTATAGCTCCAACCCTTTCAACCACACCCAGCTACTAACCATGTCCTGAACCCTGCTTCCAATTCTTCCCTGCCTGCAAGCTTTGAAACATCTTTCTGGAAGTGCACCCGTGCCTGAACCTTTTGTCCCTTTCCTAAGTTGCCCCAGCCCTGTGTGTAGGAACTATACAAAAGCTCGAATCCCAAATCCCGGATACAAACCTCACCCACCGACCGAAACTTGCACACAAACCCGAGCTCCAAAAAGCACCCTAAGCCTCAAACCCATTGTCTGGTGACCTGGTCCATAGAAATTATACCCGAAGGTCTATGAAGCCTAAGCTTCGAAACCTAAAACCTAGGCCTTGAGCACTATGTCTTGAATAACCCTATGAATAGATATACATACCTATAAGCCCTAAGGACCAAACCTAAAAAAACCTATATAGACCCCAAACCCTTGAGCCCAAAACCCATAAATCTCACAAAGTTTGAACTGCACACCCTGGATGTTGCAATTTCCATCCCTAAACCCTCCCCACCCGCATCAAACCACGAACAGCCTCACCCTAACCAAACTATCAAACCCATGTATACACCCACATAAGACCACGAACCCATGGACCCCAAAGCCTGGACGTTCCAACAGCAATCCCACACGATTCTAAACCATGAAGCCTCAACCCAAAACTCTATCCCCAAACCCAATCCCATATAGACAATAGACCACCGCCCTTGTTTCGGCCATGCAGCCTCAATCTTAAACCCTGGAAGCCCGGATACCCCAATCCCCGAAATTTCAAACCATGCACCTCCGCCCTAAACCCTGAACCTGAGCGCCTAAAAGGCTTGAACAACCTCTACAACAGCGACCTGTATAAGCATTCCCCAAATTACAAGATGCATCGAATCACTTGAACATGAATGCTCAAGTCTGCTCCCTCAAGGGGACTCAGACACTAGATGAAAACAACATCGCTACACATTCCAGATAAGCAAGCCCCGATTGTGATCGCACTCCTCGATAGGTCTTAGGTGTCTCCCTGGATAACATTCCGAAGGCCCTGGCAGTGTGTAGACATATTAGCCAGAACGAGGGGTTTGGGAGTTAGGGTTTAGAGGTTTAGGGCTTAGGGGTTTAGGGTTTCGGGCTGAGTACCATGTCATGCTGGACTCTCATGTTATATGACCTTTTACATGAAAGTCCTTCATGGTATACTCTTATGTCACACAGTGTTTCATGGTATACCCTCATGGTAAAGTCTCTCAAGGTAGACTCTCATGGTACACTCTCTATTGGTAAACTCTCATGGTATACAGTCTCTCATGGTAGACTCTCATGGTAGACTCTCATGGTACTCTCATGGTAGGTTTTTTTATCTAAAAATACACTCTCTTGCGACAGACCCTGAGCATATTCATCTCCAACGATCCTAGATTGTTCATTTCTGATGGCTGAACCTCCGGCGAAGAAGCGAAAAGGTGGGCTGAGGCAACGACTGCAAAGAAGTAGAGAGGAAAAAACCCAAACCTCTGATCTTGCTGCCTACTTGGTGGAAGAATGCCTGTGGGGATCAATGTCGCCGCAACAAGTGCAAAAAATAGCGGCTTTGTCATGCAGGGATGCAGCGAGGGCCAGAGAGACCGGCGACATGCCTGGAGAGCTGGAAACTTTGGCCAAATTGGGGGCCAGTGGCCTGTATCCGAACAAGTGTTGGGCCGACTTGACAAGGCAGCTGGCCCCGAGCATCAAGGTGCCACCTGCGGTTCTTCATAAGGTACCGACCAAGGCGGGTCTGGATACACTTCCGGTGCTCATGCCACACGAGCTGTTGGCATCCATTTATGACACTTTCCCAGCTGTTTGGGTTAAGGTTGTGAAGCCGTCGGATAGCCGAGCCGAGCAGTTTTGGCGCTCAGTGAAGGGCCATCCTGCACTGGAGTCAAGCCCACTCCTCGCTCGGCCGAATTATCAGCGGCTTTGCATACCCCTGGGTGTTCACGGCGATGCTGTTCCAATCACTGGGTTGGGGAAAGCTTGGTGCCAGCAGTTGACCGACCTGAGTTTCATGAGCCTTTTGGGTCTTGGCTCTGTGAAAGAGCTACTGTTTTACATGGGTGGATTTTGGGAAAAGCTGAGAGTCATGTCGAATGACATGAATGGCACCGCTCACAAGTTCTTGGCAGTGCTGGCTTGGTCATTTCAAATCCTCTGGGAAGGTGTTTGGCCATCAGCTGATTTTTCGGGCAAGCAGTATCTTGGATGGCATTGTCAATCTTGTGTTTCTTTGCTCGAGAGCCTAGCACGGTTTAGGGTTTAGGGGTTTAGGGTTTAGTGTTTAGGGTTGACCTCCCCTATTTGTTTAAAAGCCTAGACATATATAAACCCCGACATATATACCCAGACAGATCAGGTACCCGGCAGGGAGTCAGGAAGCTCGCAAAGCTGGACAACCTTTGATGGGAGGACATTTCGCTTTCCTTTTCTCTTTGCAAGGCGATCTTGATTATTATGCATCGGTCCTTGACCTCCCAAGAAGTACATTGGCTTCGGGGCCATGTGCTCTGTGCCGGAGCACGAAGGTCGGCCCTTGCAGCTGGCAAGACTTCCGAACTTCTGCGGCTTGGCGAGCCACGTCTTGGAAAGCCTCCGAATGGCGATTGTGGTCTGGCAAATCATCCTGCCCTTTGCTGCAACTTCCTGGAACGAGCTGTTGGACCGTGGCGTTTGACTGGCTTCACATAAAATACCTCGGCCTAGACCAGTTTTTATATGCCAGCATCATCTTCATGCTCGTTTTTTACATCCTTCCTGGACCCCAGAGGAAAACATGCAGTCCTTTTGGAAGCTTTTGCAGCAACAGTACTCAGATTTGGCTGTTCCATGTCGCTTCAGATACCTGAACAGGTTAAGCATGATCCTTAGAAAAAAGGATCTCCCAAATTACGAGGCAAGGGGGCTGAAATACGACATCTCAGTCGTCCGATTTTCAACATCTGGGCGGCCAAGATGAACCCAGCATTGGAGATACATCGTAAGATCCACCTCCTCCTTAAACTGAATGCCAATGCAGAGCAGCTTTTGACTGATCACCGTGAGCTTTTTGCACTGCCCTCGAGAGATGCTTCGGTATTCGAGACCTCTATCGATGGAGTTCTCATGCTGCAGCACCAGCTGCAAGGGCACTTTCAAGATGAGCCTCAAAAGCTCTTCAACGTCACCGAGAAGTCGCATTTTGCTCAGCACTGCGGCATTCTGGCTCGGCATGTTTCGCCACGACTTTTATGGTGCTTCAGTGGAGAGGACCAGCAGAGACGAGTACAGGAGCTCACACAGGCATCGGTCAAGGGGAATGGCCCCGGTTCTGCTCTTATCAAGGTTGCAACAAGATACAGAATGGCTTTACATGTGCAATTTCACAAGATCGAGGCCAAGAGGGCCTGAGCATTCCTCGGCTTGGAGAAGTGTGCTACACTGTTGGGGAGCTGTGCGAAAATGTGGGAAGGACCGAATGTTCGACTTGGTGGAAGTTTAGGGTTTAGGTTTAGGGATTTAGGGGTTTAGGGGTTTAGGGGTTTAGGGTTTAGGGGTTTAGGGAACTTCTCCACCCCGAGTCCCGTCTCAAGCTAAGCTGCCAAGTTACACCCGAAACCGCAAACCCTGAAGCCCGAACCAACACACACCCGTCTCAAGCTAAGCTGCCAAGTTACACCCTAAACCGCAAACCCTGAAGCCCGAACCAACACACACCCGTCTCAAGCTAAGCTGCCAAGTTACACCCTAAACCGCAAACCCTGAAGCCCGAACCAACACACACCCGTCTCAAGCTAAGCTGCCAAGTTACACCCTAAACCGCAAACCCTGAAGCCCGAACCAACACACACCCGTCTCAAGCTAAGCTGCCAAGTTACACCCTAAACCGCAAACCCTGAAGCCCGAACCAACACACACCCGTCTCAAGCTAAGCTGCCAAGTTACACCCTAAACCGCAAACCCTGAAGCCCGAACCAACACACACACACTCACACTCACTCACCGCCCACCCACAACGACATCGACACACAACACACCACAACCACACACACACACACACACACACACACGACACAGACACAATCTTGGCATAAGGCACATGTAGCTTAGCATGTGTACATTTGTCAGCTACAACACATAGCACATATAACACAAAACACAAAGCACACGACACACAACACACAGACAGAAGCACACGGAGAAACATTTACACACAACAACTTATATATACTTATGCACACAAACACACACAACAATGGACTTTCAAAGAGCAAAATCTCTGTAGCAGTTTCGGCCGGCCACAGAAGCAGTTTGGAAGCAGTTTCAGTAGCAGTTTCCCCTTCCCGAGTTTACTTCGAAGTCAAAATTTTAACTTCGAAGTAAACTCTGTTTTGACTTTGCGGGGGCGGCGTTTTAACTTCAAAGTAAACGCAAAACAAATTAACTATTGACTTCGAAGTTAATTAACATAGTCAATTCGCGTTTTGACTTGTTTGTAAAAAAAGCTCTTTTTCTATGAAATAGAGCTTTGGTACTTTTCTGACTTCGCCGGTCTATTGGGAAAGATACATGCAGGTGCCGTGCCAACCCGGACCAGCCCACTGCGTAGAGCTGCAGCCGACACGGCCTGCCGGATTGCCGCTGCGGAAGAAATCCGTGCCCTCGCACTTAAGAGCAAAAAAAGCAAAGACTGCGAGACACCAGAGCCATGGCCTCGAAGTCATTCTGAAGAATGGTGCAGCTGCCACACGAAATCGCAGCCTTTTTGCGAAGAAAAGAAAAAGAGAGGAACATTCACCAAACCCCAACCACTAGTGTTCGAACCCTAAGTTGAACATGCCCAGAGTTCGGACACCAGTGTTCGAACCCGGAGTTCAAACAGGTTGTTCGAACCTCAGGTTCGAACACCAGTGTTCGTTGGCCATGTCCGTGAGAAGCACGTTGCAAGGTTGCGTTTCGGACAAGATGCAATCCTGGACCATCATGAAGTTCGCAGGCGCTTCTTTGAGTTGGCTGACGAGGGCTTGTGACTGGTTAAGACAGGGAGCAATAGCCGAAATCATAGATGCGAAAACCGCAGAGTCTATAATGCGAGCAGCCGTATCCGGCATATCCAGGGCCGGAAGTTATCCGCGTAATTGCCCGAATCGGCTTTGGGTATGAAGGTCAAAGCCTGTGTGGGTGGAGGAGCAAGTCCAAGAACGATATTGAGAAAGTGGGCATGCAGCACTCGGGCTGACTCGGAGGGGAGCTGTCGATAGCACTCGTAAGAACAGCCGTCGGGCCCCGCCGAAGAATCACCGGTGCGCAGGAGGTGGAACATGATGTCTTCTTCCTGCGGGAGGGCACAATGCGGAACATGCCGTGGGCACATACTCGTTGAGTACAAGCTCCCAGTCCGGGGAGTAGTCCGGTGGGGACTGCTGACTGCTGCCAAAAGGCACGCGTGGCACGCAATGCAGCGTCAACCTCACCCAGGGTTGAGCAAGGCGATCCGTCGACGCGTAGTACCTGTGCAGTACCGAAGGACCCATGCAAGGGACGATCGGTGAAGATCCCATCTGGGATGTTTGTGCGTTGCTGAGCATCAGCGAAGTAGAGTCGATTCAAAGCGGCATGCGAAGCCGTGTAACAGGCAGCGCATTAAGCTGGTGAACAGGAAAGTGAGTCTGCGCGCTGGCACGGGCCAAGCCATAGCCCAAGGTGGCCAAGCCGCAACAGCTCGCCGAACGGCCGCAGCGCGGAAGAAATGGGCGCCCTCGTGGCGCGCGCAAGCTTCTACCCGAATGGGTGCTTAGGCGTGCTCGCTTATGGAGTGCGTTAAACATCCGGCTCACATATGCCAGCCGAATGGCCAGGGCTCGGATAACACAGTCGACACGCGAAATTTGTCTTTTGCAGATTGTGGCCATACCATCCACATGGCAATCCGGGAACTTGCCCGCGACAAAGGCGCCAGGCCTGCTGCGGCACATCGCCGGCTTGCACGAGTTTCTTCACATATTGCCAAGACACGTCTCGAGAAAGATCCAACGGGGTTACATGCACAGGACCCCGAGCACGGCGGCCCAAAGGAAGGGCCTTGAACCCGAAACTCCGCAGCGCAGAGGTCAGGTTGCCAGTTTCGGCAAGCAGCTCCAGGCACAACCAAGGGCAAGCTTTGACCGAAGACAAACCCATCGAAGGTGCACTAGAGCCGGGGGGACTAAACCCTAAAGCGGGCCTAAAGTCAGGAAAACCAACCGTTTAGCAGGTTCCGGCAAAACGAACCCCAGGTTGCGTAGCAGCAGGGATTCTCCAGGCGCTCGAACCTTTCAAGCAGTAAGCGATCAAAACCACACGCCGGCCTCGGGAAGGGTTCACCGAATGCCGGACGGAACGGGCATCGAATGCGATGGGTCCCTGATCCAAGGACACGGCACGAGCCCTGAAAGAAACCTCACTCCTCTGAACCGGGGACCCTGTAGGGTCCTCGAGAAGCAGCTCGCCTCCGTCAAAACGAGTCAACGGGATGACTAAGTTCTGGATGCAGGCGTTCTGCACGTCTTTGTGGACGCCCACTCGCGAATCCTCAGCGACGACCAGGCCAGAAAACAACATCTTTGGGTCCACGGCTCGTATCAACGAAGTCAGAACTTTCACCTCCTCTGGGTGCTTGTGGACCGAAGTTCGGAGCCCCACAACACCCTTGGAATACATTCCACTGTAGAACACCTTGCCGACCTGATCACGATGAGACTGGGTCTTGGTCCCAACAGACTCGTTCGGAAGGCTATCGAAAAAGCTCAAGCACTTGTGAAGAACTGCGAAAAATTGATTGCGCCGAGGAGAATTGGAAGCAGGTTGCTCATGAGCATCCGCTTCAAGAGATGATTCGCCGCGGAATTTATTCGGTCCCAAGCTCTGCCTGGCGAGGGTAGCCAATTCATTTCCTGCCTGGCCAACATCGGCCCCTTGACCGAGTGACTCTGACGAATCATTCGTCGTAGTGCTCTCTTGAAGTGAAGACACTGGGGCGGCACACATGGTCTCTGAGATCATCTCGCCCCCATCGAGCGGAGGCTCAGAGTCCAGGCACCGTCACTCCTGCTTCCTTTTGGGGCAAGTGGAGGCCCCGTGCCCATGTTGGCCACACTTCGGGATGGCACAAGCATGCAAGCCTCTCACACAGGCATTGTTGGTCACAGCATTGGTGCAATTGCCAAGCTGGAACCCATAGCAGTAAGGATTTCCTTTCTTGGTAGAGGAAGTGCAGCCCCACGCGATGAGCTGCGCAGGCATGCGACCGTTTCCCTTGCCGTCCTTGCCTTTCCCAGCGCCCTTTCGGGGGCCCTTAGGAGTGTAAGGAGCCGGGCGCTCCTTGCCAGAATCCTCAGCACTTCGCCCACTGGCAGCATGTGGCATAGGCTGGAGCAAGCATACCACATCATACGACATCATCACTGCTGGGAGGTGCTTGTCGAGGGGACGCACCCCTCCACTTGATGATTGAACTCCATCCCTCGTAAGGTCCCTCAACTCGCTGAAAAGCTTCTTATCTGCCGCCACAAGCTGGCTCCACGACGGCCGGCTGTACTGAGGCGGAGGATCGTCCATCCTGGCTCGAAGCAGGCGGTCCGACCACTGCTGCATAAGTGTGTATTCCACCAAGTTGGCCTGGTCAAGGGCAAGCGAGCGCCTCTGCAAAGCCTGAAGCACATGGACCTCCGAAGCGGTGGAGGCCTTGTCCTCGGCTTCTTTATTCTCTACTTTAAGCTTCCCAGAATGTTCATCGATCGTGAAGCGAGTGTCCTTCTTTCGCTCAGATGCGACCTCCTGCTTAAAGGCCCGCTGGGCTTAGTAAAAAGTTATCATGCTTAGTATTCGGTTGGTCGACTTAATAACTGACTTATCCCACTTAGCATAACTCCATTTAGCATAGATAGCTAAGTCAACTTATCGCTGCAGCTAAGTCATACTTACATAAGTCTGCTAAGTAAACTAAGTGGTTTCAGAGCTGATGGATTTGTGATATATAGACATGCAATTTCCAACCGTTTGCCTCCCAAAAGGGAACGTGTTATAGAGATATTTACACGAAGACCGCCATTGATTGCAGGGCTGCAAGCTCGCAGGCAGGTCTTTTTTTCTCATGGCAGCACCACGACAGCACTGTCGCCTTGCACACTGAAGGCACAAGTGGCATGGATATGCTTGGTTTCTACAAGGGCCACATCGTCCGACAGGGTGAACATGGCTCCATGCACGTGGTTCCAAAGAGTGACATGTGACCAGCATGTCCCATCTGCTTGGACGTGGTAGCCCACCCTGCCGACAAGCCTTTCACCATCCAGATGCAAAACCGCGAGGTCTTTTGCCGAAACTGTGAAGTTCCCTGCATGCACAGCCTGGTTTGCTGTCATGATCTCGCCCTGGATGTTCATGCATCGCCGGAGCTCGGCTTGGAGCTTGGCAGGGGCTGGTCGCACAGGCTGAACCAAGTGCACCCCTTCCTAAACTGCATACGACGAAACTGGAAAGAAAATGTTGTGAACCTTTTTATAACAACATCTATAGTGGTATATAGAAGAAATGAATGCATAATGCATACAAGCATCTCCTGGGAGAAAAGCCGGATCGGCGAGCTGCTGCAAATGCCCATGTAGCACATCATCGAGTATGCTCTTCTCAAAAGCCCGACTTGTGTCGAGTACTTGGTTGGTGATTTTCTTGATGATTTTGTGCTTTCTTTCGTGCACAAAGCAGCTCATCAGACCTGAGTGTTTGGCCAACTGAAGGGGCAAGTGGAGTGCCAAATGGCACTTGGGTACCCAAAAGGAGTCCTCACCGTAGCGGGTCTTAGCGAGGTCCAGATGGCCTTTCACCAAGACTTGCAGTTGGACTGCAGGGAAAGGATCTCCTATGGCGATTTTTTGCAAAGCATCGAGGACCTTGCACATCGCCAGCCAAACCTCGCATGAGTTTCTCATGTCCTCGCTGCATTGCGGCAGCACCCAGAGCACAAGATAGGTTCGCAGCACCTGCAGGAAGTTCAGAGCCTCCGATGCACTGCACTTGAGAGGATCACTGTAGGATCCTCTCTTTTGCAACACATCCTTCGGGGCAGCACCTCGCAGACGTGCAGGCCATGTGAAAGTCCTTGCGAACCGCTCAATGTCGTTGTGCTTCCAGCCATTGTGATGGAGGTCTCCAAGGAAAAGCCCTGTCAGCACATTGAACAGCCCTGAGACCAGGTAGACGTGCATCCAGTCGAACATAATGCAGTCTATCAGCTTGGGGCCATAGGCTGCATGGGCCAGTAAGCCCATGGGTTTAAAGTTAAAACCCAGGGCAGTCTGCAGCTTTTCGAACTTTGTCTTGGTCTGCAAGGGCTTCTGCTCAGCGAGGTAGTCCATATAGGCTTTGATGGACTCCTTCGTCTGGCGACGAAATCTGGAAATGTCGGTCTCCAGGCTGGATACTTGTGTGCCCCGACTGCTGGCAGCAACGTGCGACTTGTGGTCGACTGCATTCTGGCAGTGCACACAGAACACGAGTCCAGAAGCACCCTTGTTGCAGAGGGTTTGCTTTATAGCAGCTTCGTCGGAGATTAGTATGCCAAGATCGGCAAACAGAGGGGGAGAGCCGATGGGGCAGTTGACCAGAAGTCCCTGCCGCCAATCGGGGGTCTCGAAAAAAAACCTGGCCAGCTGGCGGAACAAAACCGCCATCCCCCCCATGTCTGCGACCACGGTGCTGCGAACCGCCGTCAAGGTAAACCAGCACGACTCGCAGGACATCGCATGGGCTCCCAGTTCTTGCAGGGACCAATAGATGACCTGGGCCTTGCGACGGTTCACGTGCTTCAGTTGATTGCCCGGTGCGATTTCGTCCGAATACCAAATCAGAGTCCAAGGCTTCTCGTAGGTCGGCGGCTTCAGTGCCATTTGCTTCTGCACGAGCTGGCCGAAGGCTGCACAGTGCTCGCATGCCCAAGCCAGCATTGCAGCTGGACTCAAAATCGGAATTGTAACATCGGTGCCGTCTTCCTTCTGAAGTGTGGGCTCGATGTAGATGGGCCCATAAGGGGTAGCATGAGCATGCAGCAGTTCTTCACGAGCTCTTTTCACCGAGCTCCGGCCTGTAGCTGCAGGTAGCTCATCCAGCTCACGAATCTCCTTCAGGATCTGAGCGAGGGCTCTTTGGGTGGTGAAAACTTTCCTTCCCAATTGCGACAACGGGTTGGCCGATTTGGATCCCGACGATTGGGAAGCCATGTGGTCTGCTTGCGAGCTTTATACAGCCCTGCAAAAGCGACCAAAGTTGTTTCAGGACTCTCTGATATGTGCATGTTCTGGATAAACCCCATTGCAGTGTGATTGCATATATGTGTGTATATAATATGTACATATATATATATATGTGTGTATACACGAAACCCATAAACTGTCATAACATGCCATATGTATATACATATATTATATATACAGTGTATAAAGTACATACAAACACGAACTTTATAAAACCCTAAACCCTTAAACCCTAAACCCTCAACCCTCAAATACACTCTGCAACACATGGACATGATCCTCGATCTGGGCATCATGCAAGCTGTCGAAGCTATCATCCACATCGCTCGTGCAGACATGTGCATGTGCGGGCAAACCACACATTTTGCGGCTCAGTCGAATCCTAAGTCGCTGCATATACTACGAGATTGCCATGCAAGCCTCCGTGCACACGGCATAGAGACTGTTCTGTCCGTGCACAAAGTTCGTTGAGGCTGATGGCACTGAAACCCCGGGTGAATGGAACAACGGTGCACCATGGCACCACAGATAAACACATATAGACCTGAGACGGTGCAGGATGTCTCTGCAGTCCCCGTGATTTCTTGCCGTATACGTGCACGGCCATTGCCGTCTGTGTATACGGACATCACTGCAGAAGTCACCTGTACAGTCTGCAAGAAAGGCATATAGACATGCATACATGTTCCTATATAGACTGTATATACATCTACATAGATATAGACTGCACACTTCGCATACAGAGACACATGTCATGTCTGCATGCCAACCAAAATCACTTCTTGAAGCACGACGGACAACAGCCCGGTCGGTTGCGGCATTTGCCGCAGCCGTTGGGTCGCAATTTCAACCTCTTGCTCATGCTCGGAATCTTGATGCCCGGCTTGGGCTGGGACTGCGACTTCGCCTTCGCTGCCGGCTTCTTCTTCGGCTGCACACTCTTCGTCTGCTGGAGCTTTGCGGCAGGCTTTTTCCGGGGCTTCTCAGTCTCCTCATCTTCCTCATCTCCCTCTGCTGGTGTTTTGTTGGCATTCCATGCAGCAAGCATCTGACGAGCCTGCTCGGCCGGACCCACAGGCTCCTGCCCAGCCTTGGGCACAGCAAGCTGCTGATCGTGAGGCTGCACCGGGCATGCGGCCACAGCAAGCTGCTGCTGATGAGGCTGCACCGGGCTGGCGGCCACAGCAAGCTGCTGATGATGAGGCTGCACCGGGCTTGAAACACGATGGCTGGACTCTGGAGAGTCGTGCGGTGGGCTCGTCGTCGCCATCATGCTTGTAGCCCGATTTGGACTGGTTTCGTTGCAGCCGGCTTTTCCCAACAACTTGAAGCCTGGCAGTTGCGAGCTGCTGGACTGCTGCTGAAACTGCTGCATGCATGTCGACATGCAGCTCATCAGTCCCATCATGCTCATGCCGTTGCCGTCGGCCATCATCTTCTTCATCAGGCTGTGATTCATCATGTTGTTGCCAACGATGTTGCTGCTGCTGCTGAGGGACTTGTGACTGCCTCGCAGAGGACCATGGGCAACAAGGCTCGAAGCAGGGAGCTCGCCTGCTTCAGCCTTTTCAAAGTGACTGCGGTAGATCTCGGGCAACAAGGCTGGCTCCTTGTACACGGCCACAAATTCGTTGTCCTTGGCATCCTTGTTCTTTTTGAGCCTGCTTTTGATGATGGTTTTCAGCTTCTTCACAGCCCCGTGAAAATCATCAGGAGACTCAAGGCCAGCTGACTGCATTGTTGCCATCGTTGAGACGATATGACCTGTCGCCTTCTCCGATGGCCAATACATGCCCATCTTCTCCATGATCTCGGCGATGTGATTGCACCTTGAGTGCACTCCAGCACTGGCCTCGGCCAGGACTTGCTTGTCTTCAGCTGACAAAAAGCAGAAGAAGTTGTCGACTTCCTGGGTCTGGTTGCCCTTCTTCTTCTTGCCAGCAGCCATCATCCCCGACGAGACGGAGTTGGAGACTGCTTTTCCAAGCTCCTTTTTCTGGCTCTCGTTCCAGGGCCCTTGCTGGATCAAGCTGCACAGCTCAGAGGCCTCTTGCATGGTCACTTTGTGTTGGGAGATGGCTCGCACGGCACAGTCTTTCTGTGCAGCAAGCATGCCGTCGAAGTGATCGCCCATGATCGGCTTCTGCTTGTGGAGCATGTCATGGAGCTGGTTCAAGAAGGCGGCTGCCATGGCGAGAGGAAAGCAGGAATCCCTGAAAAGTTGTCCTGCTGTGGCGAGCTAGGAAAGCCCTGCCTGCGAACAACTCAGGATTCCTGCATGCATTTCTTGCACGACAACCATGCATATACATGTATGTAGTGACACAACCTGCACACTGAGCACTCGATCTTTCCTCTCCTCATTCAAGAATCAAAACAGTGGCACGGACTGGGCCAGACGGAGAAACCTCGGATCCGTCTTTCGAAAAAGCCGTTTCTTGGGCAGCTTCTTGGCTGCCATGGTCTTGGACCAGTTGCAGCTCCAAATCTTGCGGCCGTGGACAAGGAGCTTGTGGCCCATGACCTTCAACACGTGTGTCGACTGGATGCGACCAGCCACCAGCATGCTGTGCCGGATGGCGGTGCTCACAGCCGACACTTTCACGTCTTGCTCGGCCGGGTACGTGCCGGACCAGACTTGTGCTCCGGAGAGCATCCGGGCCTGGACAACCAGAATCCCAAACCTCAGCCGGCCGGTCAAGGACACTGCCACGGCCCGGACCTCAGCAGGCCGAGTGACCATCCACTTGAGGAGGCCACCTCGCTCGCATCTCCAAAGGCGAGCTCCCTGGCCCAGCTCCCTCGACAAGTAACAAGCATATCCCTGATGCGGAAAATAATCGTGTCCTACATATACACGATAGCATTTCAGCAATCCCAAAGGCTCGAACTTCTCGTTCCCCGGCACAAGCTGATTGGGCTCGCTCCATGCCGCTTCCAGTTGTTGTACGTCCGGACGAGCGACCACGGCCATGATTACGATAAAAGGTGCGGCTTCGAAGTTGTGTGCTCTGCTTGCGAGCAAAATGCCCTGCAAGCGAGACACAACTGATAAGCTGACCATGCTTGCTGCGACCTATTAATGCATGACAGTCTACAGTGCACAGCAGAAATCACTCATGAAATGCCATGATGCACAGACGGCTTTCTTTGAATCGCAGCACAAGTCAATCCATTGTTCCTAGTGAACCAGCAAAAAGTCTCTGGAGCTGCACTGCTATGTAACAGGAGCTCTCGTGGTCACGGACCAGCACAGCATCGTGGCACGAGTCCACGGCCATGATGGACATCCAGACACCTTCGTCTTTGTAGATGGGGCTTCCAACAATGCCTAGCACGAGCCACTCCAGCACACGTTCCCGATCTTCGGTTTCCAGGCTCCACGTCTGCAGATTCTCGGTCTGCAGTTTTCGCAACCAGCTAGTGGCGAAGAACATCGTAACTATCTGGCATCCACAGACTGATTTCCGTGCAGCAGAGCCAAAGCTCTCGGATGTTCTACCTATTTTGTTGTGGGCTTTCGTCATCCTTGCACTGGAGCCTCCAAAGTCGCAGGCAGGGCTGTCAGCTCGCCAGCAGGCAGAAGCACAGGTGCAGAGCCAGTGCACGTGGGAGGCTGAAACACACGGTTGTGTTATTGCTTCCGTGGTTGTTCTGACTGCTGTTGTTGCTGTGGCTGTGGTGCTTTCTTGTTGTTGGTGCCTGGTGGTTGTCTCGGTGGTCCTGTTGTTGCTGTTGTCGCTGTTGTTGATGTATGTAATATAAAAGAATAGATAATATACCAGGGTCGTAATACATTATATAGTAATATATAATATCGTGGTATAGTAGTATATACAGTATAGTGCATTATAGTATACAATGTAGAATATATTCTGTAGACTATACTATAGGAGTATAGCATTGTCATGTAGTATAATATATAATAGTATATTCTGCTGACAGACCACAGAGACAGAGAGACAAACACAGACACACACACACACACACACACAGACACACCGACACACTGCACCGGAAGTCTATCCGCACAGGACTTGTTTTCGTGCCCAGGGCACCCGATCACTTGTGTGGTTGGTCGGCAGCAGCATCAGCTGCAGAAAGCAACAAGTTGCAGAGGCCGGGCACGGCTATGTGTATGACTGTATATGCAGGAGCCCAGAAGGTGCCTAACAGCTTGTGTATGACTGTATATGCAGCAGCCCAGAAGGTGCCTAAGAGCTTCGTGTGTTACCCTAGCACGATAGCCTGGCCCCTGCAGTTGGGAGGTCGGACACGTCTATGCATTCCGGCTGCAGCAACACAAGTGTCTTCAGCAGAAGCTAGATCACAAGGCCAGTGTGTTATGTTGCATCAATGCAGAGCAGCCAAGCTACGTGGCAGAAACCACCAGGTTTATGCATGAATAAACCCCGGCAGCCTCGAAGCTAGAAAAGTTTATCCGCGAATATTTCTGGTATAGAAGTAAAGCCTTAAAGCCCCCAAAATTTATTTATGGATAAACCTTAGCTACTTTTTAGCTCCGAAGGTTTATTCATGCATAAACCTGGCCAACTACCCGAAGGGATGCCATTGGACCTGTTGCCCCCAATTTCAGAGCTCCGGGAAGCTGTGGCGGCACCTGCATCGAGTCAGGATAACCACGGCCAGCAACCAACACAACCACTGCAACTGCACCACACTCGTCAGCCAAGGCAGAAGCCTCTGTGCACAGCCACCACAGTCGATGCTGTCCCAGCACCTGGGACCGCCAGACAGGAAAACCGCACCGAACCCACGGGCACAGCCAAGGACGGAACCGTCCGGGCTGTCACCCCTGGCGGTCCTGAAGCAGGCTTGTCAGAGGAATACCCAGAAACAACCATGGTGCTCTACGGCGGCACTCCTTCTGCAACCTCTCCATGCTTTTCGCCATGAGGTGCATCGTCGAGACCGAGGTTCGCAGGTCCTGGCAAAATGCTTTATTTTGTGGGGGGGTGGGTTGTTGGCGATGCTTTGTTGGGATTATAGAAGGGTGTCCTCCAAGTGCTGGGTGCTGTCCTTCGCCTGCTGGCGAGCCTCGATCAAGCGGACCGCGGCTCCACCACGTGTCCGGCCACGGGTCCGCCCTGCCCCTGGCGGGCAAGCCTGCCAGGCTGGAACGAACGATCCGGCCCACTGCAGTGGCAATGCTTCCGGCCTTGCCGCTTTCGTCCACGTAGTGGGCCATCACGTAGTGGCCGCCCTTCGAGGAAGGCCGCTCGAAGCTGCCTGTTGTCGGCAGAATATAAAAGCCGGCTGACCTCGACTCCCCAAACACCTGCCTCTGCCCTTGGTCGGCACGGGCTTCTTCCATCCTGTCCAAATGAACAAAGAAGGCTTGCAAGGGCAGGGGTTTCACAATGAATCGGTTTCGGTGCACCTGCTGCACTGGAGCTTCCGCCTCCTTTCCACTTGCCGTCCTGCCGTGGCACACAGAACCCTGCATGCTTCCAAGCCAAGAAGAAATGCCGGCCTGGCTCCATCCATCCTGGTCGTCCTGCTGCAGAATCACTTTTATTTGTTGGGACGGGCTTGCTGAAGAATTGGGCCCGAGCCTCCTCGTGGGCGATCTTGCCGTGCCCCTGACAGTACAGTGTTCTCTCAGACACTGTATAATCATGTCAGAGACAGAGCATGCTGGCAGGCTCCCCACCTATATATCTATCCAGAAACCCAACATCTTATCAAAGTATTCCTATCCAATAAGAAAGCGCCAGCTTTTGAGCTGTGCCCCCTATCGCCCGCCCGGACATGCCAAAGTGCACCTATGCTCAACATTTTGTTCCTGTAATGAAGTGACACAAATTACCGCACACGAAGGCATTCCAGCCGTCGGGGGTTTCTATACAGGGCTTTTATGATATTTAAGATTTATATAGGAAGCCTGCCGGCGAGCTAGAAGCCCTGCCTGCGATCCTTTCTAGATATCTACAATATATTTATATATATATATATATATATATATATATATGTATATTAAATATATATGTACACAGGATGTATACAAACACCTGTGTATTTTTTCATCTATATCTTATATACTCTAATCCAAACTATATCTAACTTAACCTAAAAGCTTGGTAAGCTGCTACATACCTATACTTATGTATAATCTTTATATAACCTAATGTATATACTCATTTAATTTCACCCAAGCAACCTAATCTAATTTAATCTAAGATCCAATGTCATCCTATCTATATATGTATAGACAGGATGTACTTTCAAACTCAAGCCAAACCTTTTAATCATTATATAGTTCCAGCCTTCGTCCTCTTTGGCGGCGGATCCTTCGGCTCCATGGGCCGCTTCTTGTTGTCCTGCCCAAGGAGATTTAGATGGCACATATTTTTATACCAATAAGAAACTCCAGAACCTCGCTTGCAGGCCTTGATCTTCGGGGTGGGCTTGAGCACCACGGCGGCTTTCCCGCCTTCACATGCCATGCAAAACACATATGCAAGGAGGGCAGGAGGCGAAAACCCTGCACGGCCTGCATCCCCCTCCTCCTCATCATCCACCTCCACCATGTCGTAGACTGGGGAGTCCTCGTGGCCTGCCCAGAGGTATGTATAGGTTTAGGGTTGATATTGGGTTTAGGGTTTTTTTCAGGGGTTTATATAAGGGTTTTGGTTTATATGGGTTTCGGTTTAGGGTTTATATTCATCTATAGTGTCGATCTATATAGATTCTATTTGCAGTTATTGTATAGAGTGATTTATGATATGGTATACATATTATATGTATATATATATATATATATATACATATATACATATACATGTATATATACATATATATATATATATATATGTATATATATATGCATACATATATATATATATATATATATGTATATATACACATTTATACATATATACATGTAAAGACACATATCTATATATATATATATATATACTATTATATAGTCATCTTAAGATGTGCCTTCCACACAGATCGCACCGGGTGTGCCGTCCCAGTAGACCCAGCCACTGGTCGGCACATCCTCCCGCTGCTTCTCCGGGTGGGTCCACAAGATCTCTCCTGCCAGTTCATGCAAGAATCCCTCAGCCCTGCAACCCCGAAACCCATGTGAGAGCCCATGGCACCTCCAGCACCCAGGACCTTCCACCCCATGGTGGCGGACCAGCTGATCCCGGCTCCTGCATGGTTTTGTCTGTTAACTCCGTATCTCTGCAAAAGGCTGGGCAAACCCGCCTTTGTCGTTGTACCACTTGCCCTTGGCCTTGTTCGTGAACGGCTCCATGAGGCCGCAGGCTTCGAAGCTCTCCGCCTTCATTGCAAGCACAGAAACAAAAAGAGCTCGTGCATCCCTCTTTCCATGGCCTCCTCCGCCGTTGGCAGGTGGCCATCCAAAAAGCCGAAAGCCAGCATGGCAAAACAGGACCCAGCCTCCCGTGGGAGGCAAACAACTTGAGCTGAAAAGCAGCTGATGATCACAGCTCAAGAAAAAAACCGCACATGTGCAGTGCATGACCTTGCAAACGGAAAGGCAACCTGCCACTGCATGCTGCAGAGACACAGAAACACACACACAGACACACACACACACACACACACTGCACACACACACACACGGACACACACAGAGACTGACTTGCAAGCTCGTGTGTCGCACCGCAGGCAGGGCTGCAAGCTCGCCAGCAGGTTTCAGAACCCACCCTGCCCATGAACTTTTCATCGTCATCATTGTACACTGCAAGCACAAATGTAGTGCATGCAAAAGGGTTTTTGAAACATGGCAGATTGCACAAAACTTGCCACATGTATAAGGTTCTCTGAACCTCCCGGACAGCATGATGGCATCACTGCTTTGGCTTGGCCTCCCCCTTCTTCTGACGAGGCTTTGCCTCTTCCTTGTCGACACAAGACTTGAGCCAGGAGAGGTTTTCGGGACGGAGCTCCATCCAGATCGTTCCAGTCGACAGCCCCTCCGAAAGCAAGGACATCTGGAATTCAGCCACCGAAACGTCCACTATTTCAGGAAGGAGGTGGAGGTCCTTGGCCGATGACCTTCGAATGGTTTTCTTGGCTTTCTTCTTCGGCTTCTCATCCTCGTCGCCCGACCCATCCTCGACTTTCAGAGCTTCCTCAAGGGCTTTGTCGCAGGCCGACTGCCGGGCTTCCAAGATCTTGCCGATCACTGGCACGTTCAAGGAACCACTTTCTGCAGCCCGCCCACCCCCAAGCTGAAGTCGCTTGCCGGTCATCATGCGAGTCAGCTGTGCAGACCACTTCGTGAAGGAGAAAAAGGTCCGCTCCTCGACTATTTTCTGAGTGGGGCACCACTCATGCTTGCCGAAAAAGATGATCTTGCGAGTCTCCACTTCGAAAGTTGGATCCTCTGCCATGGCGACTCAACAGCTTCTCACTGTGTCTGTCCTTGAGATGCAAAGCCTGCCAAGCGAGCAAAGTTGCCCTGCTGAGGCGGCTCCAGCACAACTCAAGTGCAAAACCTGCATGCACTGCTGCAACAATGCATTCGATGCTGCACTGAATCAAGGCTTGCATGCAACTGTCAAGAGAAAACAAACATGCTCAAGCACCGCAATTTCTGTGAACCAATGCAGCTGGACCTCTGCTTATGCCGATCGTGCCACCCTGCAGCCTGAAAAGCGCCTGATCATGCTGTCAGGTTGCCATATGAGGCTGTGCCCGGGTGGGCCTTCGTTCCAATGCCAAGCGAAAGCAAAACCGCTGGCATCCACATGTGCACATGATGCATATATAGAAATCACATGCCTCTCACTTCTTCGCTTTCTTCTTCGCTGCAACTGCCACTCCGCCGGACGACGATCGCTTCGCCGCACTGGGGGAGAGGTGGAGGGGTGGAGCTTTAAGGTCCTTGGCCTTATAGCACAAAACGACCTCCCCGGCAGCAATCTTCTTGGTGCTTTTGAAGACGGGGATCTTGATGGAGGAAGACTTTTCTGCTTGCATGGGCTGCAACTTCACGTTGGCCTCGTCCTCGTCCTCTGTGTAGTTCACGAAGAAAAACGGGACTATGAGAGGCTTGATCTTGTCATCATCTTCCTTGGGCAGCACACAAGAGGAGCTCAGGTAGAACTTCCTCGCATCCATCGTCCAGTCCGTCGTCACCTCGAACCAGCTCGCTTGGCTGGAGCCCTTGTGGAGGATCTTGCTCGTCAATGGCACCAATGTCACCTTTCCCTTGGGGATGTCCTGCGAGGCCTGAAGCTGCTTCTGGGGCTTCGTTTGCAAGGCAAGCTTGTCGATGCCAGAGGACTGTTCATCAAAAAGTTTCTGAAGCTGCCTCGCGATCTCTGCCTGGAGCATGAAGGCCTGGAGCTCAACATTCGTTGAAGGGCTGTAGATGCTCAAATCTTCCAGTACCTCTGCCTCACTTTTGGGGGTGAAGACGGCCCACTCGTTGCCCAGAATCTTGTCAATGGGTTCCTTCGCGACGTCGCCGGAGTCCAACTGGATGTACACAAGGCCGCCTTTCACATCTTGGATCTTGCCAGTGGTCTTGTCAGCTCGCCTCCTCACATTGCTGCCCAATGCATAGCCTCGGGATTCCAGCAAACCCACCGGATTCTTGATTGCACCATGCTCATCCAACTCAAGCAGCACCGGTGCACTCGACGACGATGCCTTTGCCGCTGCAGGTGCTGCTGTTGCCTCGGCGAAGCCTTGCCATTTCAAGGGAAGTCTCCTCCCAGTGAGCTCCTGGGCCACAAGGCAGAAATCATGGGCCACGGCCTGCAAGGTCCTGTAGTCCTTCTCGCCCTTCTGCTTCAAGCCAAGGACCATGCTGCACATGCACATGTCCATGGTTGCAAGGGCCTTCACCAGGCCGGCATCCTTCCACTCCCCGAGTTGCTCTGTTAGCATGGCCCGCACAGCCAACATGATCTCGTCTGCTTCTTTCACCTTCGTGAAGTTCGCAGCGAGCTTCCGGCAGTCCCCCACAGAGACGTTTTGCCGCACGTATGCCGACTTGACGAGGCCGTTGCGAAAACAAGCAACGGCCTCGGAGCCATGCCCCTTGATCTCCATGGACAAAGCCTGCCACAGATCCGGCCCCAGCTGTCTTGAGGAAGGGCAGCATGCTCGCACAAAGAGCTCCGTTTCTTTGAGATGTACGGCCTCTTGGCCCCCGCTGCACTTGAGGCAGTAGGAGTACATGTGAGGGACGGATACCCCGCACTTCGGTTTCGAAGCCAAGATCTGCTTCTTCAGAGAAGCAAACGAGGGGGTCTGGCCCGAAGCCTGCATCTTACAGTAGAGGCCATGAATTCGGCGAAGGACTTGGAGTTCATGCTCCCCCCTCTGCAGGGAGGTGTTGCCCGACCTGGAGACCAGCTCGAGGATTTCGGGCACCTCGCGGGCGACGGCTGCAGAGATTACATCCCACGACAAGCCTTCGGTCGCGGCTTCGTGGAAAGCAGGATCGCGATTTTTCAGCATCTCCATGCTCAATCGCCCCCCGGTGCACACGAGCTCGTTGGAGTGTGGCACGGCATCGCGAAAAAGTCGCAAGGCCGAGTTGGTGTGAGAGCCGCAGATGCTGGTCACCTTGAGGAGATCCGGCTCCATGGAGCCGAGGCCCCCGTTGGCCGAAGCGAAGAGATTGGAGTTCCAGTCCCTCACGTGCTGGCTTTCAACTTCCACGCCTACGGCATGCACTCGGCCTTTCACGAACCCCACATCGATGATGCTGTCCACAAGGTCCAGCACGTCCTGGGGGTTCACCCCGTAACCGTCTCGGTTACTGGGGTGAACCCCCACCAGCTTGGGCTCCAGCTTCATGGTCGACAGCAGGTGGTTCTTCCTGAGCAAGTCCAAGGTGGCTTCAACCACTTTAACCATTTTCTCTCCGTCGGCAGCTTCCTCCAGAAAGGACTGCAGCTGCACCTTCACTTCGTGCGAAAGGGACATGTCGATGACACCGAAGATCACCGAAGCAAGGCTGGATCCCGCAAACTCAAAACTCAGCTTGAGCAACAGCATGCATACACTGCTTGCGAGCCGGTGGCCCTGCAAAGCGTCTTACTGCATGCATTGCTCTGAGCACAGCAAGAAAGGTTTACATCATTTTCTCATATGCATGCATGCTCTGAGCACAGCAAGAAAGGTTTGCATCATTTTTCTCACATGCAAAGAAAGCTTCCAACTTCATGCAAAGAAATCTTCCAACTTCATTGGACGTGCAGAAAAACATCCTTCCCATCATCTCCTGGCCAGAGACCATGTCAACTTATTCAACTTATTATCTGACTTACAAACGAATACCTAAGTCACCTAAGTTACTTACCTGAGTTACTGTAAGTCACTTATTAACTCACACCTATAACATATATAAGTCTCTTATTCACTTACACTACTTACTATCTTGTCCTCAACACTTAGTAAGTTATACCTCTCCACATAGCATAGTTGCTGAACTTATAACCAGACTTACTTTATTTATAACTTAACATACAAGAGATAGGTAACTATATCAAGTCTGTTATTCATTTACTAACCACACCGGCCCTTTAAGTGCTCTCTAGAAGTGCAAGATTCCCATGAAATGTACCTCAGCTCGTTCTGTTCGTAAGCTGAGACGGCTTTATCCACGAGTGCCTCACTGGGCTCCGAAGGGCCCTTGATCAGCACACCCACGAGCTTCCGAACTTGTTTGTCGTGCCTCTCAGCCCGCTCGGGCTGGGTGAGCCGTCTTGCCGTGGGCTCTTCACTCTTCTCGATCTTCTGCCGCATCTCAGAAGTAACGATTTCATAAGCCTCGTGGTACAATGCTCTAAAGCTAGCCTGAACAGACAACTCAGCATCACGGCTCAGCATCGACTTCAGAGCAGCCATAAGCGGGGCCTCATCCGCTTGACCAGGGGAAAAGCTGGAGATGAAAGCAAGCTGCCGAAGCGAACCCACAGCGGCCTTGACCTTTGTAGCGTCCTCGCTCGGCAACCCACATGCATCAACCCTGGCATCGAAGACACTACGGCTATCTGAGTAAGAAGCAGCCATGTTGCCGCCTCGGCCAGCAGAAGGCTTGAGCGAACAGGTCCTACAGTGCGTTCACAAAAGTATCAGTATCAGATCAGGAGACACCCAGCATCGACCGCGGAGCACCCTTACTGGGGCTGTAGTTCCGGAGTCCACATACCCTGAATTTACGCACCGCAAGGCCCTCAGCATGAAATGTTTCTCAAGATAAGAGCGGCTCCAGTTTCGGAGTCCACACACCCTGAATTTACGCACTCAAAGGCCCTCAGCACGAAATGTTTAGCACATGACGGGTGAAGAATTGCGTCAAACCCGAAAACTCACTGGTCTCAGGAATGGCTGAAACAACTGTAGACCCTGCCTTGTATGGATTCACAGAATCTCCTGGGCCAGGGTCTACAGTTGGTGAAAAATCCTATTTTGAGACCGCCATCAAGTCAAGAGCTGCAGGCAAAGTCTCACTTTAGCTCAAGATCGCCCCTCGTCGTGTCGCTCATGCAACACCGAAGTTCCTACCCCGTGTCCGCGCCCGCCTCGACCGATTTCACGTCAGGGCAGCACTGCTTGCATACGGGGAACAAAACTTTAGGCAAAGTCTCACATCGCACATAAGAAGTAGAGATCTTCCGCCCACACTTGAAATGAGACCCCTCTTCAGAGGCCACGATATGTAGGAACCTTGTTACCTCATGCCTGAAAACAGGGGCCTTCTCAAGAGTCTCACGAACCCCTTCCGAAGGCTCCCAAAGGCCAACAACTGAATCGACAGCCTCGTCCTCGGCGCCGGGGTCCTTGTTCTCCTCGTCCTCGTCCTCACTGCCTTCAGAAGAGAGTGATATGTCATCTCCATCGCCGGACTCCTCAGGAACTGGGATCGAAACGAACATCCCACTTCGGGTGGCATCTGGTCTGAAAGCCCCCTGGGCAATGGACTCCAACATGGAGACCAGCTCACGCAGCGCGGGGGCTACGTTGTCTCTCCCGTAAACCACATCACTGTCGGATCTAGAAGAGCTGTGGTACCCCAAGATCATGCCCAGCTCTTTGGACATGCCCCACTTAGCGGCCCAGCTTAAAACCGTGGCCTTCATCGAACGGGTCCCTAACAGCCGAACCGCAGCAGCAGGCTCAAGTCCCATGCGATGCAAGAGGTTGCGGAGCCAACGGGCCCCAACTTCAACGCTGACGGGAGATTCCTGCCATCCTCCACCCTCCACGGGAGAGGGCAACAGAGGTAAGTCCTCCCCGCAGGGAGGGCCGTGATCCTTAGCGATAACTCTCCAAGCGATTGCCCACGGCTTCGAAGCCAAGCCCCAGATCGGAGCGCACATTGCTAAGAACTTTGTTTTTCCTTCCAAAGTGTAAGCAGTTTTCGTCCTGGTGACGTCGGCTTGCAAGAATCCGTGAGGCTTGCCGTCAACGTAGGCAATATCCTCAAAGATGTTTCCACAAGACTGCATGTCGCTAAACCTGGCACGGGCATAGATCGCAAAAAGGCAACATCCGGCAGCGTACCTGTCCGCCCAGCTGAAATCGCCCTGACCGAGAACAATATTTTCCAAGGCAAGAACGAATGCAACCAGAAGCGGCGGCTTCTGCACAAGCTTTCTCTTTTCAAGAAAAAGACCTCGAGCCGCGCCCGTAACCCTGGTGGAGAAAACCTCATCTTGACACCTCAGGCCTAACAGGTGGCGGCAAAATGCCAGAGACCCTAGAAAGCTGCTAGCAAACGTAGGGGCCTGCTTAGATCCATACTCCTTGAGGAAGAAGTAAATCAGGCTCTCACGAAGAGGAAATGGTGCTTGTCTCTCATCGTGACAGAACTTAAGGAATCGAAGCAGGGGGCCTGAACGGGTATGCAAAGTGGTGCTGGCTTTCACCGAGAAAATGTCGCTCAAGACATCGTGCAAGGAATACGAAGCCAGCTCGGGCTCGCGGCGGGCATCGGCAACAAAGCCGAAGTGCTCGGAGTGAGCCTCCACAATCCTTTCCCACTTTATAAGCGCGGCAAGCCTGTTGTCAGACATCTTGGTTTTCCAAGACTTTCCAAGCGACTTGGCTTTGGGCCCGACATGTGAAGTGGAACCTTGGCTAGCATCTTTAGGCGGAGGGGCTGGCCCGCTCGACGAGCTGAGCGGCACGGCAACTGCCACCTGCTGATGCCTGGGAAGCTGTGGAAACAACCTGAAAGGCTGAAGAATGGGGGACCTCTCCCAGGGCTGCACGAACCGGCTCTTAGGACCTCTGAGCACCTCATCAAGATGTTGTTCATATGCATGGTCGGCCGACCGCTTCATGATGACAGCACAAACCCCAACTCAATTGGCAGAATGAAGCATAGGCGGCCCTCCTGCAGCACAGCGAACCTGAGCGAAAAGCCGCACCACCAGACATCCGCTGACCCTGCGAGGGTCAGCTTGCACGAGCCCTAGCGGCAAACCTCAGGTTACGGGAGTGCTGGAGCCGTCAGAAAGTGATACAAACCTCTAGAGGCCTCACACACAAAAATTTCGAATCTCGCCGATGGCGAACTCGATCCACAAATGACTGCCGCAATATAAAGTCATTCAGGGATCGGGTACAAAGTTCGCATCAAGCCGAGAAACACCACAGCAAAAACCAATGAGTTAAAATCAGTTGTTTGCCCACCGTTCAAAGAAGGTTGTGCGAAAAGCGAGTTTCAAAAGCAACGTCGCATTTGAAACATAGCTTGAGCTATAAAGCCAAATGAAACAAGTTTCAAAATAGGCGTGTGTGCATGCAGGTGGCATGCCACCCTGGCATGCCGGTCTGTGTGTGCATGTGTGTGCACATATATATATATATATATATGTGTGTGTGTGTCTGAATGTGTTTGTGTTGTGTGCTTGTGTGCTTGTGTTGGGTGTGTTTAAATTCTGTATATGCAGTGCATGCTCGTGTGTGTATGCATGCATGTGCATATGTAAATTTTAAGAGTGCATACATATATACACACATGGCATATATATATATATATACATATTTGTATGCATGTTCGGATTTTTTCTTTCCATCAACATATTTGTGTTCGTAAATATAGATGCATGCATGGACTGCATGTATTTTTCGTGTCCGGCATGCTTCGATCGATCCATGCTCGACTTGCATCTATATTGCTTTTGGCATGATCATGCATTGCAGCTTAATTGATTTCAACAGCAAACATCATTGTTGAATTTTGCATGCATTTCATGGACCGACCTGTTGTGCATGCCTGGCTGCGATGCATGCCTTCACGAGCTTTTGCATGGAACCGATGGATGTAGATTTTTGTTTTGGCAAGCGAAGACCAAGTGATCGATGCGAATCTGGCTTTCGGAGATCACAATTCATATCCAATTAGCATGGGTACGTGTTGCTCATGATGACCGAGGCCACACCGGAGGACTTAGTGCCTTGCCTCCGGTTGCATATGCCGGGAGGCCTTGACAAAAAGTATCTGGAGAGCGACCCGGAGGTCATCGTAGAAAACTATGAAAGCCTCATTTGCGATCTCCTCGTACGGACGATCCGCCCACCAAGTGTGTCCTCGCAGCTCCAGAAAGCTTGGCTTGATGTCAAGCAAACGGAAGGAAACATGTGGGCGGAAAGGATTGCCAAAGCGGTGTCTCATTGTACAACAAAAGGCTCCAGAGTTCCACCGGTGTTAGATTGAAACCGAGTGTCAGGCGAGTCATGGCTACGATCAACAAGTACTGCACCTTTGCAAGTCGAGCGAAAGCCGGGCAAGACATCGACTAAGCGATTTGAAAAGGGTGTCGTCGGCAGCCAGTGCCGAGGAGCCGAAGCTTTTGAATGCCAAGACCTTGATACACCGAAGATCTCTACAAGATATATGGCTTGAAGGCTAGCGACATCAGGAAGTCATCGTCGAGCATCGGTCCCTGCATGGTGGAGAGCTTCTCAGAGGAGCCGCGTTTTGTGTCGTCACAGGCACGTCACTCTAGCCCTGAAACGGTCATCCGCCGGTTGCTACTACGAGCCTACCACGCACCCTCTGTGATCCGACGGGCCTTTCACCCGGACCCGGACACAGGAGTGCCTGCCAAAGAGGATCGTTGCGCAGTCAAAGTTGCGCTGCCTCCTTCCCGCCGCACCTCGTACTGCATGGAGCCAATGTGTAGTGCAGAGTGGGGCCACTCAAGCGAAGCCAAATTGCTTAGCTTGTTCGACCCCACAATTGGAGCCGCGTGTGCTGCAGTTGGTCCGCACCCAAAGTGGACATCGGCGGCACTGGTGGCCGAACAGGTGTTCCAGACACAGCAGCTAGAACACTTCCACCTTTGAGCTGCAGGCGGACTTTTCGGACAAATAGGATCTGGTCCAAACAGGTAACTTTGATGCTTTCTTGGCACAGGTGCCTTCCAGAAGAACTCTTAACTTCTACCTTGCACAGGCGAGGCCGAAGTCCGCTTCCAAGAAAAACAGAGTGTGCATCTTTCACTTGAGCTGAAAACATTCGAAGCAAAACGAAACGAGACAAAACGAGTGCGGTCACTAACCTGATTCAAAAGCACTTCTAACATTTGAGGCAGACCGAAAAACACCAAAGATCAAATGACACTTTTTCCAAACAGGCGCAGAATCCTGTCCGAAATCAGAAAATACACGGACCTGTGTTGCGGGGGGTGGCACGGGTCTGTGTTGCGCGGAGATGTGGTGGAATTTGCTGAGCAACAAAGTCCCTTGAAGCGCCTGTTGCGATGTTGTCCGTCCGTGCTGAGGCGCAAGACCTCCGAAGGCCGAGGTTTGTGACAGCGGATGCAACCTGCGCAAAGAGACACGCAACCAAAAAAGCAATTCATTGGTCTTGATACCTTTTATTAAGATGTAGCCACAATCATCTTCTAATCCAAGCATTGGAAAGAATGGTGTTTGCTTGCAAAAGTTTTTTAAAAAAAAACCCGATTTGACGCTCGCACAGACTCAGAGAGCAAAAAGAAATTGAAGTAGAGGCGCAACTTCCGGCAGCGAAAAGTGCAGTTCGGACTGTTTGAGGGGACGCAACAGCCGTTCCAGCAACAGCAAATGCAACCAGAAGCAAGGCAGAGGCAAGGAATGTAACAAATGGGTCTCTGCTAAAAGAGCAAAAAAAAATCTGGCAAGAGCCAGGTGAGCCCATGTCGTGCATGAAGGGTTTTGGAGTTAAGCATCGTGCACAAATTCCGAACCGTCAGCCGCACCTCTCGATACATAACTCTACACAGCTCAAGAAGTCCTGTTCAGATCTGGGGGAGATGCCTTCCAGAAAATTCCGCCGCTCTTGTATGATCTGTTCCGGCCGACCATGGCATGGCTTGATCTGCTCTGTTCAGAGATGCTAGAGTCACCTCTGGAAAAATTCCCTGTCTTTGTACAATCTCAAAGCTGCACAGTTATGGGGCTATCGGGCGACCCCATTTTAAGGCCCGCAAAACAATTCTATCTTCGCCAGGTCGGCCCTCCACAGTTGCACTCCGCTGGCTGCAGCACCATTAAGGGCAAGCAACACAGCTGCTTTGGACAAGTTCCAACCTTCCAAACGGTCCTCCACCAGACGCTTCCCAAAGTCAATACAATCAAGGACATGCACAGCCGCTGTGGGTGCAGGAATCAAACTTGCGACCCCAAAAATGCGGCCGTCTCACGGCCCCAGACAAGGAGCCGAAATGCAGCCAACCTCCTTTAACATATTTTGACTGGCAACTTGGGGACCCCCAAATCGGGGCCGCTTGGCGGCCCCCTGTTTTGGGGTCGCGAATTTCGCATGTTGGGGCCCAAGCCAAGCACGGGCCGTGCATTCCACACACTGCCACATCAAGGCGACCCGCCCACAGGCAACAAGAATTTCCAAGAGACAGTTTTCCTGTGGAAGTGAGAGACATGATAGAACAGAGGGAGGCCACTCAAGCGAAGCCAAATTGCTAGCTTGTTCGACCCCACAATTGGAGCCGCGGGTGCTGCAGTTGGTTCGCACCCAAAGCTAGAACACTTCCACCTTGAGCTGTAGGATCTGGTCCAAACAGGTGACTTTGATGCTTTCTTGGCATAAGTGCCTTCCAGAAGAACGAGACCGAAGTCCGCTTCCAAGAAAAACAGAGTGTGCATCTTTCACTTGAGCTGAAAACATTCGAAGCAAACGGAGATGTGGAATTTGCTGAGCAACAAAGTCCCTTGAAGCGCTTGTTGCGATGTTGTCCGTCCGTGCTGAGGCGCAAGACCTCTGAAGGCCGAGGTTTGTGTGACAGCGAATGCAACCTACGAATGGGAAGGAGGGGGTGGGCAATCGGGGTCGGGTACAGGGAGAGGGCAGGTTGGAGGAGAGGAGGGGGGTAGGGTGGAGGGGGGTGGGGAACCAAAAAAACAATTCATTGGTCTTGACGTTTTATTAAGATGGAGCCACAATATCTTCTAATCCAAGCATTGGAAAAAATGGTGTTTGCTTGCAAAAATAAAAAAAAAAAAAAAAAACCGACTCGACGCTTTTGCCATTTTTTTTTTGCTCTTTTAGCAGAGACTCATTTGTACATTCTTTGCCTCTACCTTGCTTCTGGTTGCATTTGCTGTTGCTGGAACGGCTGTTGCGTCCCCTCAACAGTTTGAAGACTGCACTTTTCGCTGCCGGAAGTTGCGCCTCTACTTCAATTTCTTTTTGCTCTCTGAGGCGAGGGTCTAGCAACAGCAAATGCAATCAGAAGCAAGGCAGAGGCAAAGAATGTTGCAAATGGATCTGTTAAAAGAGCAAAAAAAATCTGGCAAGAGCGAGGTGAGTCCATGTCGTGCATGAGGGGTTTTTGAGTTGCGACACACGCCGTGTGCGCTCAGTCTGCACACCTGCTGATTTTGACTTTGCGCATTGTAGAGGAAGGGGGGAACCTTCGCCGCTCTGCTCCGTGGCCGCTTCTCAACCGCGTCTTCATATCTATTTGCTGGATCTTGACTGCAGTTGCTGCAGTAAACAAGCCCTCGTCCGAACCAGTCAGGGCCGCACCGTCTTGCCTTGGCCAAGCCTCGTCAGGGGCGACCCGCTGTCGTTTTTGGAACGTTTCTAGTTGCGCTGTGCTGGGTCTCGACGCACAACATGTTTTCCCCACGGCCCGCATCCTGGCCTGGCCACACGTTTGTGGGCGGCGATTGGCGGCGTTGGACGCCGGCATCCAATTCGCCACTGTGCACACCGTGATTCGATTGGTCTCGTCCTCGGCGTGCGGTCGCAGCTGGCCGGCTGTGAGTCGCAACGACTCTGGCTCCGCATCATGTCTAGAAGCCGCT